AGGATGCTTGTGTTAAAACTGGGATTATAGCACACTATGCTTTAGAGGAATCCTTAGGCTCCAAAGTTACCGAATTAGCTTGATGTTTAAGCACCAGCTTTGACTTTTAGAGGTCAGATACCTCTTTAGAAGTCCTACCTAAACCTGATTTCATTAGATCTGTTGGCTAGACATGGGGATGAGAGGATGATGACCCTGTAGCTAAAATTCAGGACTTGTGTTACCAAGTCCCCACTGTCCTGGACCAACCCACTGTAGAGACCAGGCTCTGGTCTTGGGCAGCCCCTGTCATTGCTCCACTGCTCTGCTTAAGGCCTGACTTGCAGGGTGAATAACACCATGAGCTTCTGCTAATGCCTGCATGATCTCGGGTCTTGGAGTGGCAGAGAGGATCCTGTCTTCAATCTCCATAGGTGATAAGTATATTTATATATTACAGTATGAAAGAGGTATTGTGAGATACCCTTAAAATATATATTTTGGGTAATTATTCTCATTTCCATTAATGTCTTGGATAGTTCCTTGTCCATAATCAGCGAAGATCTTCAGTTTTCATGTCCTGAACCAGCACTGGTTCAGATGAAAATGTGCCCTTTTTGGGTTCTTCCACTTCACCTTTGAACTTTGTGTTTACAGCTCTGCTCTGCTCAGATGGAAACTGGTGCATATTACCAATCTGCACATTTTTTTTAAGTGAGCAGCGTTATATACAGCCTGCAGTAACTACCCGCTTGCTGCTGTTAAAATGTCAGCAGTGCCCAAGCTCCTGGTGCAGAGCTGAATTTTCCTTTCTCACAGCGAGGGCTACAGCCTAAAGGTACTCGAGCTGAGCTCCTAGAAATGCCTGCATTTTCCTTTCTCACAGCAGCCTAAGGGTACTCGAGCTGAGCTCCTAGAAATGCAGGATAAACATGAAACTCAATGGGAGATTCTGAAACCTTGCCTTGAAACTCATTCTGCAAGAAGTATTACAATCACCTGAGTTTTTAGCAATAATTAACTTGGTTCCTCTCTTGAGAGCAGCCAGCGACATAGCAGAGTATTGTCGTATAGCACAGGTATGCCTGAAGGTGAAAAGGCAGGAGATTCTGACACTTGAAAAATTAATCTGGAGCCTTGAAGACTTAGGCCTTAGTGTTTTCTAATTCCAATTTCTTAATGTAGCCTGCAGGTTTTGCCAGTTATAACATTTTCAAAGTGCTTTTTAATAGATGTGAGTTTGGCTGAGTAGTTTCTCTTGGACTTCTGTGTTGGGATCCAGACCCACTGCTTTTTACACCTAATAAGTAAAGCTGCTGCAGCTCTTAATAAGTGAGAGAGAATGAAGGGGACATAAAATTAGTTTTTACTTTTTATCAACATGTTCACTAAACAGTGGAGGTCCCAAACGATGCTCTCACAGCTGCTGGTAGTTTGCAGAGCTGTATTAAAAAGTCTGGTTGCTGTAAACTGCATTTTTATGTGAACAGGAAGAGCTGGCCGAGGCTAACCAGCTCAGCATAATTTTTTGAGGGTTTGTTCTTTACTTTCAGGAGCCCGTTCTCTTTCCAGCTCCCTGGAATATCCTGGTGGTGAGTACGAGCTTGCAGAAATCCCTGCCTCCTTCTGCAGCTCATGCAGTGTGATGAACCGATGGGCAGGCATGAATCAGAAAAACCCCTGCAGAGGGACACACAGACAGCTGTGTTTTCTGGAGATTTGATACTTTCTTGACTTCTAAATAGTTTCACATTACTTCTAATTGGAAAAAAATAATGAGAGAAGCAATTCTCATCAAGCTAGTCATCACTGTTCACGAAAAAAAACAGGCCATAAGCTAGCTGTACTGGCTTAAAAGGCCGAAGCAGAACTTTCGAACTTGCTCCTTGTGGTTAAAATCGTCTTCTGTTCCACTTTCCGAAAAGGTTTTATTTAATATCATCTCATCTTTGGCCACAAGGTGGCAATAACTTGCAAACAAAATGCTGAAACAGCCAGACAGCAATTTGAAGCTGTCTCCCTTCCTGAGCTTTTCTCTGTGCTCTTCCCCCTCCTCTTTTGTTTCAATATTTAATTGCATTTATCTCTGAATTACTAGGCAACGCACCCCCAGATGTGTAATGTGGAGGTGATGCGCTCGCAGTGAGATGTGCAGGCTCTGCTCAGCAGAACACCATCATGTGATGCTGGGATGAGGTGGAGTTCGGCTTTAAGGGGGAGTCTCCAGCCTTCCCCACCGATCTTTAGGATCTGAGCTGGAGGAATACCAGGAACACCTTTCCCTGCTCCTTGCTCTCCATCCGCCAAGCCCAGGGAAGATCTCAGAGCGGCTGCGAGGTGAGTTTGTGCCGTGCTGCTTTCCCTGGCCAAGTGTGGGCTTGCGTGCGGTCCGGGATGATGCTTCCTTGCGGATGGCAAAATCCCAGCCAAGGGTAGGCTGGGAGTGCTTGGGAAAACTGTGAGCACGGGCTGAGCCCGTCTTGCGCTTCCCTCTGAAGAGCTCTGGTAGTTTTTGCAGGGTATCCCCAGGCACCTCGCAGCACTCTGCTTTACCCGTGCGGTCCCTCAGCATTAAACTTTTGATGGAAACCCCTGCGGAGGCTCCATCCCCAGCCTGAGCCCCGAGCCCTCTCTTTCCTGCTCGGGGAGCTGGTGGCACAGGGGACCTGGGCTGTCCAGGTGTCCCCTGTCCCTGTTGCTTTCGGAGAGGAGGGCAGGGAGGATTTCCCATCACTTGCTGTTGCTGCTGCTTTTCCGAGCTGCTCCCCAGCAGAGGTCCAGGTTTTCTCTCTGCTCCGTGGGACAGCAGAGACGAGAAGGAGCATCAGTATTTTCTGCTTCTGAGCTTGATGTCTAATAAATAACCAAGAACAGAGCCGGGCTAAGGGAAAGGAAAACCCAAGCGGCTGAAATGTAGGCCTGACTCCTTGCTGGTGCCGAAGAGGCTGCAGCCTGTGGGAGAACCTTCCTCCCCACTCCCTGCACTGCCCTTTGGCAGCATCCCGTTAAATCCCAGCGCGGAGCCGAGTGCCCCGTGCTGCAGCTGTGCCAGGGGAGATGGAGCGGGAGCTGCGAGCTCTGTCCCGCGCCAAAGGAGCTCCAGGGCTAGTCCCTGGCACGGGTCTAGTCCCTGGCACAGGTCTAGTTAAAAAGGGCTGGTTTTGGTAACAGCCAAAGATGGCCCGGCTTCACTGACTTACATCTGCTGTCACCAGGATTTATACAATCATGCAGGATACCCACCCCGTTTGTGGGGACTTGAAATAAAATAAATTATAGTGGGATGTGCTTTTGCACCGTTTTTGTTCACTGCCATATGGGCTGGGTTTAGAACCCTCTTGTGTGAATTTTTGGGGTAACTGCTCTCACTATCACAGCCTAAGGTGAAGGAGCAATAGCTTTATAAAGCTCATGGGAGAGGTGGCAGAGGGAAAATTCCAGATTCAGGGCGGCTGCTGCTATCTGCAAGTTGGAGTGGAGCTGGGTCGCATTATTTGATTTCCTCTCTTTTTCTTGCCTCCTGAACACACATACCTGAGTTTCTCTGGTTTTAAAAACAGAGGCCACGCACAGGGGAGATTACCTAGCCGTGCCTATTTGTGTTGCGTGGGTAAATACATTTTCTGCAGTGTTTAGTTTTTGCTTTTTTTTTGTCTTTCATTTCGTTTTGTTCTTTCTTTGCTGTACAGCCCTGCTAGTTGAGATTGAGGTGTTCAGAGTTGCTGCTTTGCCTAGAGTCGATGCCAGTGCTGCTGTGGGCAGTTGGCCACTCAGCATAAACTGCATGGATTAGGTAAAAAGCAGCGGGGCAATTTTGGGGGTAAATATTCCATCCCCCACTTACTTTAGTGAGATTGCTTTTTTTTCCCCTCGTGTTATCCTATGGAGGGACGCAGCGCCGCTTGGAGCAGTTTGCAAAAGCAAAGTGTTGCAGATTAAAGCTGTGGCAAGGGGATTAAGAAAGAGATCGAGGAAAGGCTCCGGGCCCCACATTCCGTGGAAATGCTGGGAACGGGCAGGAACGGGTCGTGTGTAGGGGGGTGTTTTGCTCCCTGAAGCAACAGCAACCAACTGCTGCTCCTGTCCCCGCTCCAGGTCGTGCGAGGGAAATGCGGGAGCGCGGACGGGATCTGCTCAAGGGCTGACGGGAGCGTTTTGAACCTGGGAAACGGTTTGGATGAGGCCCGCTGGGCAGCAAGCTGGAAGCAACATGAACGCTTCGGGTCTCGTCTCGCCTGGAAACAGCTCCGTGCACCTGAATTTTTCAGAGAAGAACTCGCAGTTCTTGCAGTTTGAAGATGAAGATTGCCACGTGCCTTTGGCCATGGTCTTCACTTTGGCCTTGGCTTATGGGACTGTGATCATCCTGGGTGTCTCCGGGAATCTGGCCCTGATTATCATTATCCTAAAGCAGAAGGAGATGCGCAACGTTACCAACATCCTCATTGTCAACCTGTCCTTCTCCGACCTCCTGGTGACCATCATGTGTCTTCCCTTTACCTTTGTATACACCCTGATGGACCACTGGATCTTTGGGGAGGCCATGTGCAAGTTGAATCCTTTTGTGCAATGTGCCTCCATCACCGTCTCGGTCTTCTCCTTAGTCCTCATCGCTATCGAGCGCCACCAGCTGATCATCAACCCCCGCGGCTGGAGGCCCAACAACAGACATGCCTACATGGGCATTGCTGCCATATGGATTTTAGCCACAGCTTCCTCCTTGCCCTTCCTCATTTACCACGTGTTAACGGATGAACCCTTCAGAAACATCACATTTGATGAATATAAAGACAAATATGTGTGTTTGGACCTGTTCCCTTTGGACACGGCCAGGCTTTCTTATACCACGACTCTCTTGATCATTCAGTACTTTGGACCGCTTTGTTTTATATTTATTTGCTACTTAAAGGTAAGAGAGATTCCCCTTTGTGGTCTGTCCTTCTTTCTGTCTGATGTTTATCCTTGCAAAGTCTGTGTCTGTAGGTTAAATCATCCCACATGTTTCTCTCTGTTGAATTTTCTGCAGATATACATACGATTAAAAAAAAGGAACAACATGATGGACAAGATGAGAGACAATAAGTACAGATCCTCTGAAACCAAAAGGATCAACATCATGCTGATCTCAATAGTAGTTGCATTTGCAGTTTGCTGGCTGCCTCTCACTATCTTCAATATTGTCTTTGACTGGAATCACGAAATCCTGCCTGTGGCAACCTGCAGCCACAATCTGTTATTCCTGATTTGCCACCTCACAGCCATGATCTCCACCTGTGTGAATCCAATCTTCTACGGGTTTCTCAATAAGAACTTCCAGAGGGACTTGCAGTTTTTATTTCATTTCTGTCACTTGCGCTCCCGCGAGGAGGATTATGAGACCAGAGCCATGTCCACCATGCACACAGATGTTTCGAAAACCTCTTTAAAGCAGGCAAGCCCAATTGCTTTCAAAAAAATAAGCAGTGATGACGATGACAAAATATAAAAAAGTGACAATAATCCTACACTGAACTGTTGGAAGCGTGATTACAAGTGATGTGTGTTCAAGGACAAGCACAATCATGTCACAAGTACAAAATGGATAAAGCTTTTCTTCCTTTTTTTTCAATGAACTTTGATTGTTGTCACTTTGAAATTATATGCTGTGCATTTTTGCACCTTTGGCTGCTTTAATGTTCACAGCAGTTCTACCTGAATCTTATTACAAGACATAGTTGGAGCTGCTGCTACCTAGGGTTTTCATCAGCTATCTTTTGTTCTGTTTTCTTTGTACAGTTATGCACTTTAGCATAAAGGTTTATACTGACTTTTTCCCAAAGGAGTATTTTTCAGGAGTATCCATCTCAGAGCATTAGAAACAATATGGGCCACAGAGAGGCTGTCATTACAGAGCATACCCATGTGCATAAAATTAGGACATTCTGAAGAGGCCTTTTGTTTTTTAATCCGTCTTTTGCTCTATGGTAAAATCCTTTAAAATCAGTATAGGCGCATGAAAATGACTCTGTGAAACCTGTAGAATAAGTTAAATGGGGACACACATTTGCCTCACTCATAGAAACCATTCAGGCTGTAATCACTTAAGTTCAAAGACAGGATTAGGAGAGAAATTCTGTTCTCATTTACGAGAATAAAAACCTAGAGTAATTCCACAGAGCTCAATGGGATTACGCTGATGTTTCACCGGGGTAAATGAAAGCACAAATGGTCCTTTAAGCCCAACTGATTATAGCTCATTTTAATAATCAGGCTTTTTTAGTTTTTTTTTTTTTTTTAAAAAAAAAACATTAATTTTCATCTGCCAGCATCAGAAGGAGTCAGTGTTGCTGGGGTAAAATTTGCTGTCAGTGCCAAGCCTGTGAACCCTGTAAATTCTGCTTAAGACTTACATCAAGAGTCTACAGGTTGAAACACCCATGGTGTTTCATGGAAACACATGGTGGAATTCCGTCCTTGCACGTGCACCCAAAATCATGGCTAGGATAAAAAGACTGGCTTTAGCTACCCACATCTTTTCACAGTGATTAGTTCCTATTTGTAGAAGTTTCGTATAGCCTTATAGAATTCTGTGTTCAAATGCAGTGGTATAAACTTGGACTAGCTCCAAAACAATGGATGATTTAATCAAGATTTGCACAATTTAAAAGGAGGATCTAGTTTGGTTGTAATTGGTATATTAGCTTCAAATTCACAATTTCCATAGTGGTTTGAAGGGCGGAAATATTTGCCAAATATCCCCAGCAGAGCTCTGTGTGTTATTGCTTAAAATCTATATCCTCTAATTGCACAAAATATACAGGACTAGATCCCCAGCTGAGGGAAACCCACATATCTTAACTGCTGCAAATGGAACTACAACAATATTAGCCAGCTGAGGTTCTGTGTCATAAAGTGTACTTTGCTGTACAATCAATGCCTTGTTGAATAACCAGCTTTTAAAAATACAAGATAGCCCTTATTTTCATATAGCAAGTTTGCTTTGAAACATTCTGGTAGAGAGGAGGTCCTTTAAAATGGGTACACATGTAAATGTAGCATAAATGGCAATCACACCAGAGCAAAGAGGTCTCAGCCCGTGATGGTGAATTTTGAATGCTCCACTTTGGTATGGAGAAATGCCTAAGAAAAGCAAATTACTTGATTTGCCAGTATTTAAAAGTCAAAAACTGTGCCTTGTGCAATCTTATAAATAGTGTAGAATATTCAAGTAGCAATGTGGTGTTGTGTGTTATAATTCTATGTATTTCTTTATTGGTAGAAAATTTACTTAAAGTGGAGTGTGACTGAGAATAAAGAGGGAAAGTATAATATATAAAATGAATTACAAAGAGATAACCTTGTTTCAGAGCTTTGCCCTTTTATGTTTTATGAGCTTTCCCTTTTCTGTGTGGTTCTCTATGGAGCATTTTGCTAATAATTTAACTACAGGCTCCTGAAATTGTTCCCCTATCACTTTATGTTAATTTTCATATACAAAGGAGTGTGCATTTTCACAAAGAGATATAATATAGAAATCTACCTTTGCTTTTCTATTAAAAATCAGTATTCTTTTTCCCACTATAAAAAGTTAACTTTTTCTGATTAATGTTTTCCCTTAAAAAAAAATCTTTCAGTACAGTAGAAGTTGACAAAATTACTTAAGTGCCAGTGAATTTATTGGAAGTGTTTGATTTGGCTGAATTAAATGTGTAGGCAAAGTGATAAAGCAAGAGCCGATTTAGAGGAATCTACTAGACTAAAACTAATATGCCTAAGAAGTCTTCAGTAGGACAGCAGCATTATGCCCATACTGACCTTCCTCCTTCCTCCTTTACTAGAGGTAATGGCCACAAATTGAAACACCAAAAGTTCCACAGGAACTTAAGGAAAAATTTCTTCCCAGTGAGGGTGCCAGAGCACTGGAACAGGCTGCCCAGAGAGGTTGTGGAGTCTCCTTCTCTGGAGATCTTCAAACCCGCTTGGACGCAGTCCTGTGCCACGTGCTCTAGGTGACCCTGCGTGTGCAGGGGGTTGGACTAGATGATCTCTAGAGGTCCCTGCCAACCTTCAGCATTCTATGATTCTATGATTCCTGGAAGTATTGGTCCCACATCATGTAACCCCTCTGTTTTCAAGTGGCACCATCTCATGCTACCTGTGGAGAACGTGTGAATCGGATGGGTTTCACCACCGAGCAGGTCAAGGCCACGTCAGCCGGTGCAAACTGGAGTATTCCTGAGGCCACGATAATCTCGGAGCTCCACCAGGATGAGGCTTCTTGCACGTCTCCTCCCTTCCCTGCAGGAAGGAAGGGGGGAAGTGACCATGGTGTAAAAAAAGGAATGAAAAACAGCAGGAAAATGAGTGGGGAGCATCTCGGAAGCTAAACCGTTGCTCTTCAGAGGAATTTTTATGAGGACAGAGTCTCTCTGAGGGGCTGACCTGACATCTGCAGGGCATAGATATCATCCCCCAAGAGCAGTATTTTTGTCTTTGCTTTCATGACTTGATCCTGGAATCCTCAAGCCCCCTGAGGGCTTTCCCCACCGGACGCCTGGCTACAACGCTAATCCTCCTTCTCACCCTCAGATCTCCAGCACAGCTTCTCATCCTGCACATGGAATCTCTTCACAGGCCGCTGGATTTCACGTTTCTTGTTCATTTCCCAGGCATTCGGATTTGATGTTTGTTCTTCCTACGTGATGTTTTGTCAAACTCCCCACGCTTCAGCACATGCTGATTCCTATCCCCAAAACTTGTAAATTTCTCTTAGTCTTTCAGATGTGTAGAAAAGTTTTACTGAAAGAAAAAAAAGTAGCAAGGGATTGATAATGTATCTTATTTATTTATGTGCAACACACTTAATGTCGAATCTGCAGCATTAAATGAGAAATATAAGTACTTAATAAACATTAATATCAGGTTCATTTGTCAGTTATTTCAGCATCTGAAACTTCCCCTTTATCCACCACAGACATTTAACAACCCTGCATAATCATAATACACCAGCATATTTATATGTCCTCTTAACCATTTCCGTATTCCCATATTGCCTTTTCAGCATCTCTCTTGGTTGTGTCATTGTCACTGTGTGCTGTAATCCACAACATCATGTCTTTATGAAAAAAAGGACATCTGGAAAGGAGGCAAATAATTGAATCATACCTGGTTTTGATAGACAAAGAGAAAGTTGGATAAGAAAAATAAATCTGTTTTTGCCAGCTCCTTTTTCAACCTTAAAAATCAAGTTTACACCAGGAAAAGGAATTAACACAACTGGACCTCTAAGTCACTGGAGCTTTTGCTGACTGCATTTCATTCCTGATGAAGGTGTGAAAGCCCAATGGATCCTATTTTCTGACTCTGTTGCCTTGCAATAAAATACCATTTATTATTAATGGCTCTTAAAAGTCAAATTAATAATTAGTAGTTTATATTCAGACTCTAAATGAGCACATACTTGCATCTGGCCTTGTTTATCAAATTCGCATTCTGACCTCAGGAAAATGATGAATGAGACTGAAGAATTTACCTAAAATTAATCATTCACCGTAAAATCTGTTGAAGAAAAGTGAGCTTCTGGTTTGGGAACTCACATGCTTTCCCAAAAATCAGATCTTGGATTTCAGCTTATTAGAGGAACAAATTAACAGCCTAGAACTTTTCTCTAGATTTTGCTCTGAAGTCTAGGGCCTGACAACACTTTATTTTAAGGGTTTGGTTCAGACCTATTCCTAATTCCTTGGATCACAGATTTTTACTTAACCATCGTATAGAGAATAAAGGCAATAACTGTTTTTTTTTATTATTTTTTATGTGTGTGCTTTTAAAGCATTTCGAACACTTGGAGACAAGGGCTTAAATATTATCTGTGACTGCTACAGGTTAATAAATCAGTAATAATCAAATTAGATATTATTATTTATGTGTGTGCTTTTAAAGCATTTTGAACACTTGGAGACAAGGGCTTAAATAATATCTGTGACTGCTACAGATTAATAAATCAGTAATAATCAAATTAGAAGTTATATTGGCAGCCCTTTCTCAAGTGAAATATATATACAGCTTATAGTTCTATCATGTCTTCTTCATGCTATTTAATAGAGTGTTTCCTTTGAGGTGAAAGCATAAATATCTGAGTCATTACTAAACATTGTGTCAAAGCAAGCTATTTTCTTCTACCCATCTTTTTGGGGAATTTCAATATCAATTCAATATATGAGGATGATATTTCAGAGAGGAAAAAATGACCGGAGCTAACCGCTTATAATCTAATTCATCCATGGCCAAAAATAATATTTTTTCAATATTTTTGTCTGTGCAAAAGAGCATTATTAGCCTAATTAAGTTGATATTTTGAAATTTTGGAAGTGAATTCACAAAGGCTAACTTTATCCAGAGGATGGTAATTTTCCTAATGCCCTCTGATAGTGTCTTTCTCTATTACCTATACAGGGAGTTAAGGGGAGAAGGGCTTCCAGGGCTAGTGTTAGGCCTAGCAAATAT